AGAGATTCAAGGTAATGTGAAAGGGGCTCAGGTGATTAAAGTGAAATGCTTGTTTGTTATAAGAGAGGGAGTTAAAAGTCCTAGTAAGTCAGGATAGATTACCTGAAAAGGTGATTGGGTTTGTCCGTTATACAATAAGGCAAAACATTCCTCCAAGTTTGATGGTTTTGTCCATATTACAGTGGAATGCAAGAAGCTTAATTGCTAATGGCAAAAAAGTTTTCAATATTTTACTGAAAGACAGCATGTTAAACCAAATACAATCTGTGTTCAAGAAACCTGGTTAAAACCATAGTTTGATTTTATACTTAATGGATATATAGCACTACGTAGAGACAGAAATCCAAAGTTGAGTTGACCAACAATTAAAGAAGAAGACCTGCTCCATCTGCTGATCGACTGGTTGTAACATATTATGGAAAAGATGAGGACATGATGATGACTTGATCAGAAAGTCTCTTTCAATCATCATTTTTTTAGGCAGAGATTAAGGAATGTGTGTCTTATTATGTGATGATTCTCCAGCATAACTGAGACAAGACTACAACGCTGGGCCAATCAGAAGAGAGAAAACAGAAACAATGGAGGATTCTTCATAAAATGAAGAAAATTATGGGTGTCTCTGGCCATCTTCATGAGACCGTCTTGAAAAAACATAGTATCATCAGTCAGAGACTTCTTCAAATTTGCTGTAATACAGATCGCTACAAAAGATTCCTGCCAACAGCAATCAACCATCTACAATAACTTGTTGAACAATCTGAATGAATGAGCTACAACAACATTTAATTTTCCTTTTGGATCAATAAAGTATTTTTGAATTGAATTTTGAATTAGAATTTTCTTCCCATGCAGGCTTCACGGCAGAGAGAAGTTTTCCCATTTGGAGGACCGAAACTGAGTTAGTTAAGAATGAAAGCAGAAATATCATTACACCAGTAGTGTAAGTTTTAAAAATGTCATTGTGAACTTAGACTGGTTGGCCACCAGTAGGTGGCAGCATCCGGAGTGGTAAACAAGACAACGCGATACTTGTATTATCTGCGTTATTTGTAGTCCAATTCTCTCACGCACCAGTGCGTGCTGTGCTTGGTGCTTTTTTGTTTTCTCTTCGCCTTCCTACAGGTTTTGTATCCATCCAAGTCTGGAAACTAAGGTGGCCATGGAAAGATTGATTTTTTTCTTGGGGACGGAGGTTGCCTCATGAAAGACCCAGTGACTATCCTTTTTCAGTTTAACTGCACCAGTTAATATTTTTAGTTCAGTCTCCTGGCATTTCAAGATGGCATGTTCTAACAAGATTCCCATTGCCTGGGGAAGGGAAACAGGCCCACATCATCATATCCCCCCCCAAACGGTGTTTTTTTTTTTTTTTTTTTTGTTTTTTTTTGTTAATATTCAAACTTTTTTTTTTTTTTTTTTTTTTTTTTAAATTAACCCCATTTGGGGGCTTTTTTTTTGTGGGGGCTATTTTTATTTAAACTT